AACATGTAAGTTCAGGGTCTTTTGATCCCTTCAATCATGAAAAAATTTGACTTCAATTAACGATGAAAATTTTTATCTAATTATTTACAATAACATTTTTTAGAAATTTTCAGTAAATTAGATCTTTGTCAAGTTATGTCATCTCTTTCTCTCCTCCTCTCTCTCTCTCTCTCCTCTCTCTCTCTTTCTACATATTACAATATAGATATACCGGTACATGTTAATATAAAAAATGGAAACTGCATGGAGCATGTATGTCACTTACTTTGAACATATTTTGTAAGCTTAAAATGCAGTTACGTACCATAGAAAGAAGTATAATCCTTCTGAAAATATAAATCCTTCAGAATGGTATTCATATATTTAACACACTTGATGAGAGAGAGGTTAATTAATGTCACATGCCGTCAGTTTGGATATCACGGAGGTCTGGTTCAGGGACCACAGGAAGTGTTCACACGTCGACAACCTGTCTGGTTCTCGGAGTTTAACTGAACTGGAGAGGAGAGCTAGTAAGCTACAGGACTGTCCCAGAACTACAAAAGTCCCTCCAAAGTGTGCGGTCCATCATTAAGACGCTGGAGTTCCTGAGAGTTATTTTGAATTCAATTTTACACTTCCTTTCGCACACGCAGCTTTTCTTCTGCCTAATGTTGCCAATCTTGCTCTGAATATAGTTGTGTTGCCTTAAAAATGAAATATATTCAAATCAAATACATGTATATATATAACCTTAACGCTTTGTCATTGCTATATACATTTGTACAAAGTTATTGATCATGCACTGGTAGTATAAAAGCCATTTTTAAATGATCTGTTAAAGTCCATGATAAAGGAATAATTCTTACCATTCAAAGTTAATAAATCCCGAGGTTATTATTGTGGTTTTTATGGTGCAAAGTCTTCTCATTCAAATCGGCACAGAGTAAGCGCACACATCTTGTTTACCAGAATTCAAAATTTGGCCTGGATAAGCAGCAAACCACTATACTTTGTAACGCGCTGCCCAGCAGGAGAATTGCATAATAGGTTATCATGACACTGAAACTGACCAGTGTGCCAATCCCTATCTAATGTCTTAGAGTAAAATTCTGGGAGTGGATCACAGATTTGATGAAGAACATTTTTTTGAAAAAAAAGACATTAAGAGTTTTATTTAATGCTTATTATTTTATACAATTATTTATATTTTAAATGTTTTTGTTTGCCTATCCTTTCCTTTATTGAATTTTTTACTTCTTTAATCAAAGGACCTCATATAAATTATGTCTGTTTTATCAATAAGCCAAAACTAGAAATCATTATAAAATACCGGAAAAATCTTTCAATTAAAAATTACTACGATTTCTCATTTTAACACTATAAATTCTTTCTATATATTCTTTTTTATTTCTTCATAAACTAAAATTTAGGAAATTCGCAATCATACATTATTTGGATGTTTTAAGAACATTTTGAAAATAACAGCAGCAATGAAAAATGAAGTCTTTAAAAAAAGAAAACACATTAAATTGAACGTTTTAAAATCATTCTCACAGCACACTCTTAGAGTTACTAAATGAATTAAATTGTGGCGCAATTACATAAATGTTTCAGAAACATTTTGAAAATGTTTCCAAAAAATGTTACAAAACTATATGAAAATGTTTCAATTGTAGTGAAAATAATTATTTTAGTTAATGTTTTAAATAAACATTTTCACTGCCAATAGGCCGAAAAATACCGGAATTGAATGTTTTTAACTAACAGCGATATTAAGAATGTTTTAAAACTATTTTCAAAATGTTCCTTACAATTATGTTTCAGAAACGTATATGCGATGTTTCCGATTGTTTCATTTCATGTTTTAAAAACGTTGTTATAACGTTTTATAAGATCTTTAATATTTGGAAGCTATAAATACCCTTAAATGAATTAAGAATGTTTCAAAAACATTTTGAAAATTTTCCTTCCAAATGTTTCAGAAACGTATTTATGCAATGTTTCAGATTTATGGAAAAGGAATGTTTCATTTCATGTTTTTAGAACGTTTTTAATACATAATATAAAAATCTTTGATATTGGAAAGCTAAACATACCTTTTGAAACATTTTTAAAACGTACGTTTCAAAAATATTTTAGAAAAATGTTCTAAAAGGATTTAATCATAATCTTCTTGAAAACATTTTAAAAATGTTTTTAAAATGTTATAATGAGAAGAGGAAATGTTTTAAAAACATTTTTAAAATGTTGAGTCTGAAATGTTTCAAAAAAAACCTTTTTTACAACACCAATAAAATGTTTTGAAAATGTTTTGTGCTACCTGGGATGTTATTCTTAACTTGGCAGTGATAAAATCACTTAAGAAAATCGTGCCCCTTGGTTGTGTTTGGGAAGTCACTAGAGAAGATCATATAGACTTTATTCCTATTCAAAATATTCTGAATGTTAATAACATAGTTACCTCTGTAAACAAAATATATGTGTGTCCCTCTCCAAACAGATATGATAGAGACTGAGTTGCGATGTATCAATAAGAACTTTCCATTTATTTAGATAAAACTGGTTTTGAAAATCAATGGTGTTTCAATTGAAATTAAGGCACATTGAATTTTAAGTTATGGGAAAACTGGTATTTTAATGGGATTTATAGACAATTGAAAATACTGTTTTTTAAAAACTGGTAAATCAATGGTGGTGAAAACACTGGTCAAAGGACGGTCTCATGAAATTCAATGGAAATATAATGGAATTTCAATGAAAACATGAATTTCAATGATATTTTAATGGAATTTCAATGGGAAAAAGCCAGTTCTTTTCTCTAAGGGTGATCATAAGATGACTGAGTTATATTTCACATTTTGTTGTATATTTTCATTATGTCACTTATATGAGTCAATGAGTCAATCATCTATCATACTCCATGTCTTTGCATCTGACTTTGTATATTGCATAGACACATTGTATATTTATTTATATTATGTGTAAGTGATCATATTTTGATAACATTTGCTATGTGCAACATTGAAGTTTTGGATTTGTCCATGCCATGTATATCAAGGTATGTAAAAAGCATTAATTAGAGCCTTGTTAACAACTGCAAAAATGTGTAACATGTCCTTTTAAATTAGGCAAGATATGAATGTGGTTATATGATCTGCCAATTTTAATTTTCATTGAAAATTATTTTCAATCATTTATCACACTGTCTCTTTAAAAATAAAATCTTCGATTTCTGAATAGAGACTGCATGACAATAACATTATTACATGTTATCCCTGGGATTGTAATTATATGACTGGGATATGACATATATACCTCTTATTATTGTAAAACATTGCCTGTAAATAGTCATAAAGCTCTGAACTGCATTGAAGATTGTAACAAATGCAACATGTAAGATTGTAGCATTACATTTCTATTACATATTACAATGTAAAATTTGAGTCATTAAATTTTCCAAACTGGTCAAACAGATAATGTTATTATAGACATATTTGTAATACTTTTTTACATTGATTTTTCTTTTTGGTCAAACTGATGCTGCCTTCTCATTTTCCTTAACTTGGTCATCTACTTTCACTTTGTTTGTCATCTACTTTCACTTTGTATATGTTTAGTGTAGAAAAAGTGTATTAAGAGTAAAAAGTCTAAAATTGTGGTCTCTTTATGTTATTTGTGCACTTCACTCTGGTTGACTGACACAATAATCTCAATATCCTCTGTTTTGTGACAAATTTCAACGAACTTTAAGATGTGGGCATATGTTGTACGGTAGTACAAAATATGTAGGAGAATTCTTGAAAATATGGGCATATATGTAACTGCCATTTGATAGGTTGAACCTTAACTGGAGATAACTTTCTTAGATTTGAAAAAAAGATAAAATAAAGTGTGTATACCTATAAGTTGTGCACCATTACATTAAGCTATTATCATTCTCAATGAAAAGATATGTATGCATCTGTGCTGAATTGGATTTGGCTTAGTTATTTCTCGTGTATTTTTCAATGAGTCTGATACTTAAATATGTAGGTTAAATATATCTGGAAAGGTTTCGAAAACAGTTGCAAGCACATGCACTGAAATGTAACTGGCTAATACCTGTGCAGATATATTGAAATACAAATGTAGAACCTAGGATCCACACAGTATGAGGACCAGCTAAGAGAGATGTATCCATGCCAACATTGCCTTCACCGTGGAGAAATTGGTACAGAACCTTGTCAGACAGGCGAGATTTTAATTTGGAAACTCGAGTCTATATTCACGGTACCATGGTATATTGTAAATTTTTTTTAGTTTTTTTTTATATCAAATGAACAATGATATAAATAACATACAGATAGACTACATTACACATTAACATTTGATGATTATTTTTACATAAACTAAAGAAAAAAAAAGCTATAATCAATTTAAGACAATAATAAAGATGATATATATACAAAATATGATGATAATATTAGGAGATGCTATTACAAATGTGATTAATAACTGTAAAACAAAACATTTCAATCTATTGTGCCAATTATTAACACAGGTAAGGTGCCTGTGTGAGAAAAGCTGTAATTTATCCCCTCATTATCGTACTCAAGGTGTCAGACAGTGTAAACACAAGCTTCACCAAGGAAGTTAGAGGTGTGAGCAAGGTCACAATTATCAAAATACTTTTTTTTGTATCAGATAGAACAAAATCCTATTTTTCATCAGAATATTAGGAGAAATTATGAATAAAATATAATATATAAGAAATGGTTTTGTGATCTGATATTATATTGAAATAGCCGAAATATTACTTTATCCGCTATAGGTGTAATCCACTGTATTTACAAATATTTGATTTTCTTCACTCTACAACTGAAATACTCTGCTACAAAGAGGTTGTCTTTAGTGTCTACACATAAACCACATGGATCCTGTAGATCATAGTTATCGATGCAACGAAGGAACTGTCCGTCCTGATCTAGGAAGTGGATACAATTGTTGTTACTGTCTGATATCAGGATCTGACTCTGGCTGTCTGTTGTGATGCCGTATGGTCTAAATGATCCGTTGTTAGTAGAGGGATGACCAGTGTATCTAAATCGGAGTTTTCCTGTCTGATTAACAACCACTACTACATGGGCTGCAAGGTCCGCCACACAGATATCTAGGTTCCTGTTCTCACTGATGTTAATGTAACCAGATGAATACAGAGGTTTACCTTCACTGTCAAACTGAATGGTTTGTTTCTCTGTGGAGCCAGAGTAATGGACAACTTTTATTTGTTCATCATCACTGTCCATGGTAACCAGGAAATCACCAGAGGAGGTACTACAGATATTGGATGGTTTCCATCCCTGTAGTTTGATCACTTCTTGTACCTTTTTATTCTTCACTATGTTTACAGTCCTTGTATCACGATCAGTATAAACAAGATCTCCGCTCCTTGTCACTGTTATGTCATGTGGTATATTTCCTGACTTGGTTTGGATTGACTTCAGTAGTTTACCCTGGATATTGTAGAGGTTCATGATTTTGTCATTTCCACTTGTCCAGATTTCTTCATCACTGAGACAGGTGACACTAGATAGTATGTTATACATAGTGTTTATGGTGGTGATGAGCTTTGGTTTATCAAGCAGTACTTTGAATGGTTGACTGGATACGGTTTCTGATGTCTTAATTGTGTAGCCATGTTCTTCTGTTGTAATGGCTAATGCTGACAGAGAACCAAACATTTGATGAAACTGCTCTGTGTTGATCTGATTAGGAGAGAAACTCGGCAATGAAACGTTGACTTTAGGAGGTACACTTCTGAATTCAGCGTTCCTGGATGTGTAAGCAGAGGTTAGGGAGACATCATTGGAGTCCAATATTTTCCTCAGATCAAGAATACCCTGTTTCACAACAGAGGTAATCTGTTTTATTTCTTTTTCCTGCTTTTTGAGAACAGCCAAATGTTTAGTTTTCAATTCATCGATTTCAGATTTTCGTTTGTTGACAATGATGTTAATTTCTCTGTGCCAGTCTTCTCCATGTTTGGTGACAGCTGTTGTCAGTTTCTCGTAATGTTTTTCAAGGTTTACTTTTTCAGAGTTTAAATCTAAAATTATTTCTGCGTATGTAGGATAGATTCTTTTCTTTAGTTCTTCCAAGTCTTTTTCTAAATCCTTTATTTCAAAACTTAGTTTTTTCAGAACATCTGTAAATTTATGTCCATGATGCTTATCAGAGGAGATGCAGGTAGAACAGACAGGAATGTCACATTTCTTGCAGTAAAGTTCACAATATTTCTTGGAATGGTTTGGACAGTCTGGGTAGTTAGGTGCAGAAGTTCTGTGTTTGTAGGGTACAACATTATGTCTTTGGGATGAATCAGAGAGATGCTCCCCTACACAGGCCTTACACAGGTTAATCTGACAAAGTTCACAATGACTCTATAATGCAGCTGTTTGACACAGGTCACAGAGGAGGAGAACTTGAGCTCGGTCCAGGAGCTCCATTTATATTCACACTTAAATAAGTCTAGGTTTTGCTGAAAGAAAATGAAAATGGTAAAGGTTGTCCTGTGTTGAGGATTTAATTTTCTAAGCTTTGTGCAAACTTAAAAAAATAAATAGGTGCAAGGAAAAAATATAAAAATATCATTTCGCTTTGAACTTGATCATGGATATTTTGTTTCCTAGTGACCGTGTATAAGTATTACCCTGTTTTCATGTGACAGAACTCAACCAATATTAAGACCAAATCTCCTCAAGAAATCATTAGTTGTGGGTTATGTTCTTGTGAATGTAATCTCAAATTTCCATGGTGAGACCACTCTTGTATGTCATAAACTTAGACAGTAAAATCATGCATAACAAGATGTGTTTGTGAAACACTGATGCCCCCGTATGGCTACATGTGAAAATTTAACTTTTCTTAAATTCAAACTCACTGGAAATACAATTTTGAAATACAAAAGTAAGCCAAGGTTAAGGGATCCCGACCCTCTGCTAAAAAATTCAGTAAGAATATTGAAAATTTGTAATGTTGATTTTCATGAACATTAACATTAAAGTCAAATGGCAAAAAGTTTGAAGATTGAAGCGCTGCTTGTTTTTTTCAAAAATGATTTTCATGTCAGACCATGATATGAGGAAATTGTAACACAGAGAACAGAAAGAGTAACGATTATCACAACATTATATTTAAAATATGAGGTGCATATGAAAATAATACTTAGTGTCATATATACTCAGTTAGAAAGCATCATGGCGCGATGCTTTCTAAGTACCGGTAAAAAAAAGTCACAATGTTGTATGCGGTTGTAAGAAAAAGTACATCTGAAAAGAGGAGATAACTTTCTTCTAAATATTTCTTCATGTGAAAAAAAGTCATATTAAGAAAAATTCTGTATAAAGTACTTGAAACACTAAACCATTTTTAAAATGGTCCCTATAAAGATAAAACTTATTCAATTCATAAGGCTTTTGAAGTTGGATTTAAATGTTTTATTGTTAAATATAGTTAAACAATTAGAAAGAAATTTGTAAAAGAAATAGAAAGTAATGTTTTCATCATATTTTATATCCATACATAAGATTTCATCGAATTGACTACTCAGGGATCTTACTTAGGAAACTCTGATTAAGAAAACTGTGAGTAGTATTCATATTTTGTACTTTGAAAGTTAACTGTCTCATCAGAGGTCCGGTACCCTTTAAACTGTTTTCATCAGTACGGAAATCTCCAAAGTCAAAAGATCAAGGTAATTGGTATCCAATGAAAGGTTTTGCCACAAAAATACACATGTGAAGTATGGAAGCCCTAGCCCTAACCCTTAAAAAGTTATGATCAAGCTTTGCATTGTAAAGTAGGTCAAACTTCAAGGTGAAAGGGTCAATGTTCTTGATATTCAATCAAGGGTCTTCTAACAAGAAGGATATGGAGATAAAGAACAGTATTCAATCTCAACGTCCATTAAACAATATACAAAATAAGAGCAGAGCAAACACGGAACTCCGAAACATCAGAGTTTGGATCAGCAGTCATGGAGGAGTGAGCATCCCCTGCCGATCGGTCACACCGGCCGTGTACTCGTTGTCATGATCAGAAAATAACGGAAAAAATCCGTCGTCAATTTAGTGTATAAAAACAAGGATTACAGATGTAAAGTATTAGAGTTTTTGTCCTTAGCGTTCAAAAGTTATGGCTAAGGTTAAAGTTTTTTCATAAGTATGAAAATCGACAATTTTAAAAGGTCAAGGAAATTGGTATCGAATGAAAGGTATTGCCACAAAAAATACATATGTAAAGTATGGAAGTCCTAGTCTAAACTGTTCAGAAGTAAAGACCAAGGTTAAAAAATAATAAAAGTAGTTTAAAGTCCAAGGTCATAGGCTCCAAGGTCTTGCTATCAAATAAAAGGTCTTGTCACAAAAATTTAATATGTAAAGTATAAAAGAACTACCCCTAGCCCTTTAAAAATTATGGTAAAGGCTTGCTTATTAAAGTAGGTCAAACTCCAAGGTCAATGGGTAAAAGTTTTTGATGTTCAATGAAGTGTCCTCTCACAAGGATTACATCTGTGAAGTATGGAACTCCTATTCCTTACTGTTCAAAAGTTATAGCCAAGGTTAAAGTTTTTCATTAGTACGGAAATTTTCAAGGTAAAAAAATCATAGTCGTTGGTATCCTATGAAAGGTATTTTCATAAAAATACATATGTGAAGTATAATGTCCTGGTATCTACTGTTCATAAGACATGACCAAAGTAAAAGTTTGGAACTTTTGTGTAAAAATGGGTCAAGCTCCAAGGTCATGGTCAAATTTGGTGGAACCCAAAGACAGGTTTTGTCACAAGGAATACAGATTTGAATTATGAAAGTCATAACTCCACTTAATCAAAAGTTAAGGGCAAGGTCAAAATTTTTGCAAACAAACAGACAAAGAGAGAGACAGTTAGACGTACACAGAGACAGACGGACAGACAAACAGGTAGACGGACGGTCACGACAAAAATATCTACCTCTAAAACTTCGTTTACAGGAGCATAATTATTGCTCCTTATTTTTTGAAGGATATCTACTTTAAAAAAAATGTTTAATTTGTTAATTCAGATAGGAGATATTTTGTACAAACGTATAATATTAGAATTGAATTAATGTCTTACCTGTAAAATCAATATGGAGCCTTTAGTTCTGTCTGACAGTCTACTTCCTGCTGTTGGCTAGCCAGGTCATGTGATTTAAATACCTGTCAATATACAGGCCTTTGAAATAAATTATTATTTCGCACATTTTGTATTTGAAAGAAATATACATTCATGAAATTCTCAAGTTAGATATAAAAGAGGATACCGTATTTAGATGTGTTGATCAAATCGTACATTGATTATTGCAATGAATTTAAAAGAAAAGTAACTCGAGTGTTAATAAAACGATTTATCATTTATCTCGAATTTTATCATATTCAGAAAAATCTGTCTTAAAAATTTCTAAATCGTTTACTAGATAAAAGTTGTTTTTATCTCTACTTGTCAGATACAAGAATACTCGTATATTAATACATGTACAATGTATATTCAAATTGTAGATTACGTTAAAGAAGTTTTTGGTTGTCAAATATAAAAGTGAAAAAAATTCTTGCCTCACTATCATACACTATGATTGTTAAGTAAAAGTATCGCTCACTGTATTTATATATGCTCAAAAGGGCCCTGATTTTGAATAATATATGTTGTCTTTTCTATTCTGTAGATGCAGCACATTGTTCAGGATGAAGTTTGTGTGAAGATCACTTCGTTGTTCCAGGAGGAACGCAAGAACAACGCCACAGGGGGCGAGTGGCCATTGTCCATCAACGGTCATAGGCGCTCGGTTACAGGATGGTATATTTTGAGTATTATGTGTTTTTTTTTACATGTGTACCCTCATTTAAATAAAACTAAAAATTCGCCGAAATTAGCACGTTTTAAAAAATGTCATATTTACTGTATATAAAAAGAGTAAAGGAGCGTCACTCCCCATCTTGAAAATCAGGTAGTACCTCGGATTACACTTAATTTTCATCTATATCTACACTTTCCCTACCGATGTCGGGTGAGATCTAGCTTCAAAAATGTCAACGGTCAGCCAAGGAGAGCGCTTACCAGAAAAAAGCCGAACAATGTCTCAGTGAGGAAAACTGCTTCAAAGTTGTCATTGTAAGTAAGAGGGAAAGGGAAAGCCAGCATTTCAACATAGGTCTGAGGTTTTTTTTTATTATAATAAGCAGAACAAAATACACCCCTCCAAATCTGATTGTTTTTTTTAAACTTCTTTAACTTCTTGTACTATATTCATGTATTTATGTATAAATACTTTTAAAAAAATGAAAATGTTTTATAAGAAAGAATTCCTCAGAATGTTAAAATCTCTTACCTAAAAAAAGAATGAAGGGGAAGACAGAAAATACAGCAATTTGTATGATATCCTTTAATCGTGCTTAAACACAGATTTGAAGTTATTGTTTTCTAAAAATATTTATTTCCTTCTTTTCTAAAAGATATACACATATTCTATAAAAAAAATATGCTACCTAAGATGTGAAGAAAAGACAGTAGTGTTCTTAAGACTCAAAGCCACAAGTAAGAAACCTAGAGGACATTTATTTCTAATTTATGCTAACAGTGAAATCTAGTCTTTCGAGTTTAAGGACGCTCTAAACACTGTGCACTAAAGGCCACCACTAATAGGTTAATTCTATGCAGTTAGAGTGATCTGCCTCTAGAAATAAGATTTTAAAAAATGCTATTTAGTGTCAATAACAAGATTTGTAATAAATTGAAATACTGCTATAAGACCAAGAACCATCAATTGAATTCATTATTTTTAATCATTTTCCCAATGTTAACAGCAGTGATTTCTTCGCATAAAAATTCATTGTCTTTCAACATTTTTCAAGCAGAAATAAGACTGAAACCCTATGCTATAAATGAATGAAAAAGTCTAAATATGCACACCTTTATGTGATACATTTTTCTCCAAGTCCAAAAAAGTAGTTGCTGTTAGTGTTTTGAGCTTCCTTAAGATAAAAAGCTTGAAATTTGAATTCATTATAGTATTATATGATTTACTTTGCCTGGATCTGTCAGTTTTCCAGATACACATTGAAACTTTTGTAATATAGGAACCACTGATTCCATAAAAATTGGCTGGATTAGGCAACATTTCGGATTAGTCAATATTTTAATCAACAGCTGACTAACTAAAGTGGCCTAAAATTTATATCATTTAACAGAATTCTGGAATACACAACATCCAGATAAAACAAGTTTGACTGTAACTTTTACCAGTTATTGCAACAGAATATCATGTTTGACAAGCATCTGGTACTTCTCTTTTTGCATTGAATCTATTAATATGAAATCGTTGCTAAGACGATTATTTTATATGTTACCATTTTTACAAGAGATTGAGCTGGACGAAAACAATTTATACTTCTTGAAGATGATTTGCTGAGTAGTTTGCTGGACGGGAACCTAGAATCCACATAGTACGAGGATCAGCTAAGAGAAATGTACGGATTCATGCCTATATCGACTTCAGCTTGGAAAAACCGGTGAAGAACCTTGTAAGATACTGTTAAACAGGGAAGGAAAATATTGCTTTAATTTGGACATCTAAAGTATAGTGTAAAGTCTCGTTTATTCCTCCGTAATGAAAGATTTTGGGGTATATATTTTGCTCTGTCCATCCGCCTTTATGTTTCTTTGTTTGTCTGATAAAACCTTTAACCTTACCTATATCTTTTGATTGGTTGAGGCTATGGCTTTCATATTGCAGTTGTGCATCTCTTGTGACAAGAACTTTATCTGGGTACCATCAAATCTGACTTTTTGGCATTAGAGTCTGATCCAATTTTAAAAAAAAATATTTGCCTTAACGTTTGATCAGTTGTAGCTAGGGCTTTCATACTTCATTTATGCAATTTTTGTGACGAGACCTTTTATAATATGCCAAAAACTTTGTTCTCTTAACCTTGACCTAGGAGTTTGGCCTACTTTGGAAAACATTAACATGGGCCATAACTTTTGAAGGGCTATGCCTTACATACTTCACATATGAAACTTTCGAAAAAAAGACCTTCATTTAGATACCAACAACTTTGAGCCTTAGACATTGACCTTGGGGTTTGATCTTCTTTTCAAAAAACTTAAACCGTGGTCATATTTTTTCAACGGTTAGGGCTAGGGCTATCGTACTTAACATGTGTAATCCTTTTGACAAGACCCTCCTTTGGAATTCAACAAATTGGACCTTGACCTTGACGTTTTGCCTATTTATTAAAAGCTTTAACCTAGCAATAAATTTTAAACATGTGGAACACCGTTCTTTTGGTCTGATGCTTAGGCTTTCATAAATATTTCACATGTGTATTTCTTGTTAGAAGAACTAAGTTTGGGTACCAATATATTTTTTTGCATTTGAGGATATTAGATTATAATTTGCCATGCGGCGGCAACAGAGTTTTTCCATTTTAAAAACACTCTTGTTTTTATTGTTAGTCACTTCCTTCACATGAAAAACTTCATTAAAAAAATTCCAACAAAATTTTAAGTTTGAACATCTAATTTTCAAAATGCTAAGGGTATTTCAAGGTAAAAAAATATCGCTATTCTTCATATTTGGCCCAATTTTAATAAGACTTGGTACACAAGTAGACTACATAAAGAAATATTTTTTATGTCAACAAACAATGTGGTGTAGATATCACAAAAAAATTCTTATGAAAAGAAAATCTTTCAAAATTTTACATCTATAGTTTTGGTCAAGTTTCAATAATGTTTGGTATTTGATACGTCTGCACAACGATACATAATGAACTTTATTATTTTTTGATTATGAATAATATGTCATTGTAACTAAAAGTATGAAATTCTTTGAATCTTGTTTTAAATGCTACGCCTCCTAAAGTTTTGATCAGATTAAGCTTTTTACACAAGTTGACTACTAAAAATTATAAATACATATCAGTATGGCTTCAGTCTTGTCAGTGAATTATGGTTAATTATACCCTCTTGCAAAAGAAGTTTAGGGGGTGTATTGAAGTCATCATGTCCGTCTGTCCGTATATCTGTGGAAGATATTATGTCCGCTCTGAGAAAAGACATTTCTCAATTCTAAATGTTTATGAAAGCTATATTTTTAAAACTACAGAGTTTATATGGTTTATACCATCTCTTACACATTTAATTCTGTATTTAATTGTTTTAATATTTTAATAATTATTTTTTCATTCACGTTTTTATGTTATGTGAAAAAAAGGAAAATGTTCATGTATGATTCGATCTCTCTCCATAGCGCAGGGTTTGGCACTAAGTTTGGCGGTAACCACTAGTACTGCGCTACGAAGTATATGCGTGATGGATGTCTGTCAGTGTGATTTAAATGAACGGGTTTGTTTAAGCGTATATAGTTCTAGAAATGTTTGTTTTTCATATAAAATGGGCCCGGATTTCATTTTGTGGGCAAATGAAATAGATTTCACATATACGATTCTATCATTTAAGCGTTAACTAAGAATGGAGACTAGACCGTTTCATGTTCAAAATTCATTTTTTATGGCTCTAATAATTTTGCAAATTGAGAAACATATTATTTAAGAGCGGAGGATTATCCACGCCTTGTACGCCCTCTTTTTTGTACACTTAATATTCACCATATGGAAGTTTGTACCTGGTATTTTTATCATGATAAGATTTTTATCATGATAATTTTCCGCATTTACAGGTTTTTGTTTTTATTTTTATTTTGTGACTTTGTACGGACCTCTCTCAGACACTATTGCATTTTTGTGATTTATGTGAAAATTTATATACTCATTATTTACCTTATGGAGATGTGCATCTGATACTCTAACGTTATCTAATAATTTTTCTGCATGTTACAGACTGTTTTTAATTTTAATTGATCTAGTCATTTTGGGTAATAAATATCTAAGGTTTGAGATATAGAATCTAGAACATCTAAAGTGTACAAAAATTTGGACTACAACTTAAAACTGCTCATGAAAACTAAAAAACAAAACATCACCAGGTTTTAAACAGTTGTTATACCTTTAAAAGTGTGTTCCTATACTAATCTAAACAAAAAGTCTATCACTTCTTATGCTTTGCTGAGTGGTCATAAACAAATCGATGTTTGACCGCTGATGTTGGACATCTTATGTCATAGAATTGGCGGAGCTTAATCTCGTTTGCATTCGTTGGTGTTCTACAGGAAGAAGTAAAAAGAAAAATGAAAGGCATAACAAAGTATACATTTTTTGACCATCTCGGGCGAAATGCGTTATGCGACTCTCGAACCTAAAGGCCTCAGGCAGACAGTTTCTTTCGCTATCGAACTCAGTCATAAATGTATATTTTTACATTACATAGCAATATAAATTCACAAGTCTCTTGGAAGTAATAAGTGGACATGCATTCAGTTTAAGAATTATTAATGACTTTATCTTTGGAAGTTGTAAGGGCATCTCTGTTTAAGCATATGTTATCTATATATATCTAAGGAATTTGTCAAAAGAATTTAAAAAATTTCTGTTCTGTAATTCTCTTAATTGTAATTTATTGTCTGTCAAGCACTTAGTCACTGTATGATCAGCCTTTTAATTTAATTTCGTATAATATAACTTTTTTTTCAACAATTAATTACTGTAGATTCCTTATTTTCGCGAGTACTTAGTATCGCGAATGGGCTCTTTAACGGCAAATCGCGAGAATCATTATTCGCGAATGGACTGCTGATCAAGAGATTTTACATAGATTTCGGCGTCATAATAATAAAAGCGAGTAATTTTATTCCGCGTGTGGTGCTTCTCGCGAAATTACGCGATAATTAATTCAAATCTTATATTTAGGACTTTACAGTAATATTATACAATTATTGACTTTTGATGAGGTCTACTCGTGACTATACAGACCTGGTCAGGTATTGGTTGACCGAGGCCGAAGGCCGAGGTTAACCAATACCTGACCAGGTCTGTATAGTCACCAGTAGACCGAATTCAAAAGTCAATAACCGTTTTATTAAATGATGAGGAATTTTACAACACTGCTGACTCTTTCATTCTTGTCTCCATCAAATATAAACATCGGATTTCCATAATGTAAAGTGTAATTACACTTTATACATGTTGATATACTTCAACAGCTAAACAAATATTAGTTAAAAAGTTAAAAACAATATTAATAAACAATAAATACTCAACCATTTACTTTCAAAAGTTCGTAATCTCCTTGGAAATGGCGTCTGACATGTTTACATTCACATCGACACATGCTTTGAAACACGCAATCTGATTGGTCGAAAAAGCTATAAGCAAATCTATGGTTGGTCAAGAGGGAAAACCCGAATAAACCTCCCAGAACGTCATTTGAGGTGAACTCACTCTGAGGTACACACCAGTAAATGGCGTCTAGACCAATCAGAGAGCACCAAAATTCCTTATCATTTAATAAAGTGTTATATAACATTTTTGAATAAGTTTTCCTATTATATCACAAATGTAATAAGTTTTGCTATAATCCCTGAAAAATGCCGAGTCACACCGGAAACAGTTATGTCTGGCCGGAAACAGTTATGTCAACCCTCGCCGGAAACAGTTATGTCATCCTTTCGATCACGTTCACGTGACGCATTTTAGCTCGGGTTCGAGATGTTATGACGTCGGTTGCTAAGCAAATGTAAACAATGGAGCGTTATTCTTAACGTCAAGAAAGCATTTTTGGTATTATTTGTGAAAATTTCAACGATTTTAAATGATTTAATTTTTTTTTTAGTTTTAAAAATGTCATATAACATATACCACATAGCTTCTCGGGCGACTATACCAGAATATTTGCCCCTCGTTGACAGGAAAGCCCTGGAGTGTTATGTCACCCTCTGCCTTCGGCATCGGGTGACATAGCACTCCAGCTTTCCTGTCACCTCGGGGCAAATATTCTGGTATGTCACCGTCGAAACCATGTGATATATGTATAATGTCTCAAAAAGATGAAAAATAGTTGCATTATATATTTTTATGAACATGTATTGTAAAACAAAGTAATTACAATGCATAAGTATTGATTTTTAAAGGTAATTGACGTATCACCTTAGTTTCATTAATTAAAGAAATAAAATGAACAATTATATTTTTATATTTATATTTATAATTTATAATTTATATTTTTTACTTTTTATAGGAAAGCTGTGAACATATCTTAGATCAACAAAATTTAGTAATTTGGCACATTCTCCAAAAGAAAAACATCGGGATGGAGGGTAGGGCGGGGGTGGGGTTGGGGGTATTTGTCCCTTTAAGACAATTCTTGTCCCATTTATGGTTGGAACAACACTATCAAAAAATGTTAACATAATTCCTAATAACATGAATATTCTTATTTCCATTTTAGTGCCCTGGCATACTTTCTCATCATAAACTAATATTAAGTGATGCAAACTAATCTTTGGTTTGTGGTCATGAATTTTTTCATATGATTCAGTAAGACGTCTTTTATGAACTGCTTAATAATAACAAATATTTTAAAAAAAAAACTATGAAGTGAATACAGTATTATTTTATAATATACATATAATAACATTATATTTCGGAATGTAACCCACTGTTCATACACTTGATCACAGCAAAAATGTACATGTACATGTTCGCATAATTCAATTTTTTTTGTTTTTTTTTTTCCTTTCATCTTGCAAAATCGGTCGCAAAACTTTCAATGTAAAAGAGGAATTTACATATATTTGATTTTCTTCACTTTGCCACTGTGAATCTCAGCCACAAAGAGGTTGTCTCTGGTGTCCACACATAAACCCCATGGACTCTGTAGATCACATTTATTAATGTAACGGAGAAATAGTCCATCCTGATCTAGGATGTGGATAAAGGAGTTCCTATAGTCTGTTGTCAGGATTTGACTCTGGCTGTCTGTTGTGATGCCGACTGGATGAAAGGATTCCTTGATAGAAGGATGACCAGTGTATCTAAATCGGAGTTTTCCTGCATGATTAACAACCACTACTTCACGGGCTAAAAAGTCAGCCACACAGATATCCAGGTTTCTATTCTCACTGATGTATTTAAAGTTACCTGATGAATAAAGAGGTTTACCTTCATTATCAAACTGAATTGTTTGTTTTTCTGTGGAGCCAGAGTAACGAACAACTTTTGATTGTTTATCATCACTGTCCATGGTAACCAGGAAGTCATCAAAGAAGGTTTTGCAGACATAGGAAGGTTTCCAGCCCTTTAGTCTGATCACTTCCTGTATCTGTTTATTCTTCAATATGTTTACAGTTCTTGTATCAGTGTCAGTGTAAACTAGATCTCCACTCCTTGTCACTGATATGTCCTCTGGTATTTCCCCTGACTTGGTTTGGATTGACTTCAGTAGTTTATCCTGGAGGTTGTAGAGTTTTATGATTTCGTCATCGCCATATGTCCAGATTTCTTCATCACTGAGACAAGTAACGCTGTATAGATATTCATAACCAGTGTCTATGGTGGAAATTATTTCTGTTTCATCAAGCAGTGGTTTCACTGGAGGGCAAGATACAGCTTCTTGTACCTTTATTGTGTAGCCATGTTCCTCTGTTGTAATGGATAATGCTGACAGAGAACCAAACATTTGATGAAGCTCTTCTATGTTGATCTGAAGAGGAGAGAAACTTGGTAATGAAACATTCACTTTGGGAGGTAAATTTTTGTATTCCGCGTTCCTGGATTTATAAGCAGAGGTGAGAGAGACATCATTGGAGACCAGTATATTCTTCAGATCAAGTATACTCTGTTTTACTTCAGATATAATCTGTTTAATTTCTTTTTCCTGATTATTTTGTGCAGCCAGGTGTTTAGCTTTCATCTCATCAATTTCCAATTTTCGTTGGTTGACAATGATATTTATTTCGCTGTGCCAGTCTTCTTCTTGTTTGGTGACAGCTGTTGTCAGTTTATCATAATGTTTTTCAAAGTTTACTTTCTCACTATTTAAATCAAATGTTATTTCTGTGTATGTGGGAAGGATTCTCTTCTCTAGTTCTTCCAAGTCTTTTTCTAAATCTTTTGTTTTAGAACTTAGTTTTTTCAGAATATCTGTAAATTTATGCCCATGGTGTTTATCAGAGGAGATGCAGGTAGAACAGACAGGAATGTCACATTCCTCACAAAAAAGTTCACAATGTCTCTCTAAATGGTTTGGACATTCTGGGTATTTGGGAAGTGAAGTTCTATGCTTGTATGGTACAACCTTATGTCTTTTGGATGAATCAGAGAGATGCTCCCCTACACAGGCCTTGCACAGGTTAATCTGACAAAGTTCACAATGACTTTGTAATGGAACTCTTTGACACAGGTCACAGAGGAGGATGTCTTGGGCACTGTAACGGGGGTCCATTATAGTCCTCTTACCTGACCAGGTCTAGATTATACTGTAAAGAATTTAAATATAAAGTTTGTTTTTTTAGGTTTTATGCATCGTGCATACTAAACAAAATAAATAAATAGGTAAAGGCAAAATATTCTCTGGTAAAAATAGTATATATATAGTATATATAAAGTATAATATGATAATAAGTACTGTAAATCACTTTTTATTCGCGAGAACTTTATTTTCGCGTAAATACGCGAGACAATGCAATCGCGAAAATTTAGTTCTCGCGTATAAAAGTAGTTCTTATGATTATGTAAAGGAATAACAACTATTCGTGAAAATTATGTCTCGCTTACAAAGAGTCAGTGACAATCTCGCGAAAATAAGGTGTCGCGAAAATTTAGTGATCTACAGTAATTGCCATGTTAATCAAATTTTTTTCACTACTTTCATGTGACGGATCTTCACCAATAATAAGTCTGAATTTCATCAAGAAATCATTATTGATGGGGTAATAGATACACAGACACAAACATGATCTCCAATCCCCATTCTGAGAGCACTACTGTATGTCATAAACTTAAACAATCAATCATGTATAATTATGTTGCTACTTATTTTTTAAGGATATCCACTTTTAACAAGAATGTTTTTTCTTAACTCTGATACGAGATATAAAGGTAAACTGATACTTTGATAAGAGAGATAACTCGTAATGACATAAATGTCTAGTTAATCTTTCATAGATTTGCCAAGTTGATGTGTCTTTTTTGTCCAATTTTGCCCTGCAAGCTATATGCTTTAATTATTCGTACTCTATTTAAAAACATTTCTTTTGAAAAATCATATAGGTTCAAGCAACATTTTATACGACTAAGCAGAAGGTTTATGAATCTTAAAAGTGTGATTTTAAAATTACAAAAATGTCTTACCTAAAAAATCAATATGGTTCCTTAATTAATATCTGGCAATCTACTTCCTAGTGACGACCTGTTACTAAGTCGTCTGATTTAAATATCTGCCAATGTATACAGCCTTTTAAGAGGAAGAAGGACCTTTAGCTGAAAAAATACTTGTTCAATTTTTTTCATATTTTGTATATCTCTAATTTAGTATGTCCCACATACCTTAAAGCAGATATATCAATAGGTTTCTAGATTTCTTTTTGAGATATGGGTGGCAAATTCTATGTCCCACAGTGTCTAAATAAAGTGTTGATTCTCCGTGTTTCTGGTCCCATTATTCGGTCCATAAGGAAATTTTTTCAGCATAGATAAAAAATATGTCAGCGAACATGTGTCTTTTAAAATAATTCAGAGTATGAATAGGGTTAAAAATTCGAAAAAACAATATTCTTTTGTCACACCGAATCTGGAGACGAAAAACTACGTACTTTTTAAGACATCTTAAACAACAAAAAAGATTCATTTGCAAAAAATCCTATTATTCAATATTTGAAAAATTACGTTTAACTGCAAGTTCATAATGCTATTGATTAACTGTAAAAATATCGATTGGTGACGCTGAGCTCAATATTGCACACAGCATAGTTAAACAAGATATGAGAATGAGAAAAACGTGTCATGTTTACATTTCTCGAGTACGGGAAAACCCAACTATGACGTCACACATTTACGAAATAAGCAAAATAAGACATACTTACAAAATATTTCCGTCAACAACCATGTAAAAATATTTTTTGTCTTCACTAATTCACAAAATACCCCCACCATGTACTGATTATGACGTTTTTATAGTATAAATACTACCCGAGTTTTACCGTGAATAATCTTACTGTACTAAGAGATTCATTATGACGTCAATGACTTGATGGACGCGCAGTATAGGGAAACAGGAGAGTGGATCAATCTATTCTGTAATTTGATAATATTTGCAAGAAAGTTTAAATGTTTTTAGATATTTTTATACAACATGGTGAACTTAAACAAACAGTCAAAAAATTCTACAAGTACTGTGGTTTCAATCTTGTTTTGTACATATTTTATCAGAGAATTTGACGTAATTAAACTGAGTCATGTGACCATACATCCTTCGTCCCCTTAACTCTTTACAAATTACTGAACTGTTATGCAACATACACTAAATGTTCACGTTATAGAAATATGACGTTACCTTTTCCCCCCAAAGCACTTTATAGCGTTGTACAAGTTTCTCTTTAAAGTTTATTGTAAATAATATTCTGACGTAATATTCTAATAAGATTATAACCATAAGTATGTTAATGAAAGAATTGTAATTTAAATGAAGGTTTAATTGTTTTTCAACAGTTCAAAAAAGTGTAAGTTGACCTTTGAACTCCTTGACACTGACCATGAGCAGTCTGATAATCCAATAAGAGGGGAACGTTGGTATGAACATGTAGAGAAGTACGTCTCCAAAGATGACACAGTTTCAGAAGACCTGAAGGAACACCTTAACCGCAAATCTGTCTTCTTATCCAGGCACTTTATTCACACCCATGTCATCTATTAAACGTTGTTTGGTTATCCTCTCCCGAGCAACTGACTAAATATGGCCTGCTTTAAAGCTTTTCTCTTACATTCAAAGACACAATATTTGAACCCTCTCCCCACTTAGAAAAAGGGAGGGCATATTGCTTTGTAGCTGTCTGTCGTTCAATCGGTCGTTCTGCCTGTTCGCCCACCGTCAGTTTTTCATGCCTTTTAGTGAACATGTGCATAAAAGATTGACAAACAATAATATTTCATAAAAGAAAGATATAATTTACAAGTATTAAATTACTTCTATTCAATGGTATATAAATGTATCAATGGTAGGGGTACCCGAAACAGTCACGAGATCAGATATTGAAAATATGTCACACCAAAGTTCAACCCCCCGGTTGACCATTAATAAGAGCGAAAATGATATCAATTGATGTATATAATTTTTCAATTTTATTTTGACTTCATGGTATGCAATTTTGTTAGAATTTAGATCAGGAATATGGAAATAATTAAAAGATTAAGTGCGGTAAAGAAATAAAATAACGATGAGAAAATGAATTTTGACGTCAAAGCGGAGCAGCGAAAGACCTAAAATTTGGTGTGGTGCTATGTAGAACTCTTTTTAGAGTGAACAACCTGCTAAAACAATAACAATGGGAAAACATGTAAAGGTTTTGTTATTTATATGTATATACTTTTTTCTAACCTATAATTCAACCAAAGTAAAACCAAACGCTCCGAACGACCTTCAATTTTTACCACTACGGAATTGAGAACGTTGACCCGCGTTGCATAAATCGGAAATGTTTGATACTAAATCATCCTGTCTAAATGACACAGGAAAAATTTACACACATGTTGCAACAGCACATATTTTTTTCCCTCAAAGAATCGTTTAAGAAATTAGACTGTTTGATTTTTGCATGGTATATATGATAACAAGGAAAGGAGAGTTAATTCTTTTCGATCATTTCACATGCAAGAACATCTCCGGCTGAGGTGACGTTAAATTGTCTTTATGAACAGTTCATACTGTAAGACAAAACTAGACTGGTGCATTTCAAAAAAGACGAATAGACGAATAAACAGATCTCTTTCTACACAGATTGAACGGTGAATTTAAATGACAAATTCATTCAACTATAGTTGTCATGATTTACATATGCCGACTGTTTTCAAACAATATCTTTTGTTTTTTGAAAAGTTGCCTGTCATTTGATCAAGGGAATTTTCAGAATTTATTTACACTTGTCTGTTTCTTTCATGCCTATATACCTGTAATTGCGCTTGGATGAAAATAGAGTTAGGTTGATATATTTAAATGTACTAGAAACAAGAAATTTCTTATATATGATCTAAAAGTAGCACACTGGGTCAATTCAGAGCATGCAAAGGTGAGAAATATGTTCGAACAATTTTTTTTAAAAAGATTACATAAAAATGTTTGGTCTACTTACATTCATTCCTGGGTACTTTAGACCATTTTCTGCGCACATGTACAATAGGAAGGAAAAAGCTAAAGCAATATTTTAGCTATGGGATAAGACATATACCTTGTTATACTGGATCATTGCCTGTAGAATCGATATCATTGCCTGTAAATAGCCATAAAGCTCAGAATTGCATTTAAGATTGTATTATATTTAAATTACATATTGTAATGTAATATTTGCGTCATTTAATTTTTTATTCTATTTGCTTCATGCTATTTTATTTTTTTGTTTGTTTTAGCAATTTTCGGAGTTCGTACTCGGAGTTTGGGTATGAGTACGGTAAAAGTTTTATAACCTCGGGGCCTGACATATTTAGTTGAGTTTACTTGATTAAAAGTTGTTCATCCTCACAGTAATGTACACTAATTTACAGTTCTGATATCATTTGCAAAACCGTTTCCTTCTTATAGTATTAATTTGTAAATGTTTCAAATGTAAATGCTATAATTTCTGTCATGGTTACAGATGAGATTGAGCCGGAGGAGTACTATCCATACTTCTTGGAGATAGTAAAGAGTTCGCTGGACGGGAACCTATAGAATCCACACAGTACGAGGACCAGCTAAGAGAGATGTACGGTATCCATGCCTACATCGTTTTCACTATGAATAAGTTGTTACAGAACCTTGTCAGACTGGAACAGTTTTTATTTGGAATTTTGAATCTGTACACCATGGTATACTGAGTATTGTATACTTGTAAAATGTATTTTGCGTGTGATATGCAGGTATAATTTATACGAAACGTTCGTTGTTTAAATGTCCAGCTGGTCTGATTTTAAAACAAGATTTTTTATTTAGTTTGGGATACCTTGTTACATTGTAACACTTAGGAGTAACAATAATTGACGTTTTCGTACTAATTGTTAGTCATTTATTTATACACTAAATTGACGACGGATTTCACCGTTATTTCCTGATCATGGCAAGCAGCACACGGCGGGTGTGACCGGTCAGCAGGGAATGTTCACTCCTCCATGGCACCTGATCCCACCTCTAATGTTTCAGAGGTCCGTTTTTGCTCTGCTCTTATTTTGTGTTGTTTTATGGACTTTGAAACTGAATACTGTTCGTTATCTCAATATCCTTATTGTAATGCTTCACACAGAAAAATAAACACCTAAAAGGTAAAAGGCATGGATGATACATGTAAATGTACATATAAATGTCTTTAAGTAGAATAAATGATAAGATTGGAATTGATTTCGGTCTTGGTGTAACTGCATGAACCAAAATTTATCTAATTCAATACTTAAAAGATACGTTGTTCTTTTTATCAGTTTTCGATTTTTACAAAAGGCACCAAAAAAAGAACATTCCTTGAGATTCAATCAAAACAGTACTCTACTCTCACTTTTGTTCCTTTGTAGATAAAACTTGGTACATAGATTGACAACACAAAGAAATGTAATAATTTTAATTGGTTTTAATTTCAGCAAATTTTGCTATATGCTTTATTTTAAAATCTTTCAAATGCCACACCTCCTCCATTTTTATTTTCATCTGATGCAGTAAGATGTTTTATATTTGCTTCATAATGGTACAGTCATGTATTTATTTTAGAAAGTAATCATAAAGTTGGTAAAGTTTATTTTTTTATGTAGCATTTCTCTTGATTTTGCATAATTAATGTTTTGTTTTTTTGTGGTTTTTAGTGTCGTATATAAGTTGCTTAAACTTTCAGTAACAATGAAGTTATTACATGTATTTGATGTTCTTCACGTGACCACTTCCCCACTCAGTCACAAAGAGGTTGTCTTTGGTGTCCACACATAAACTCACTGGACCCAATAGACCACAGTTATTAATAAAACGGAGGAACTGTCCATCCTGATCTATTATGTGGATACAGTAGTTCTTACTGTCTGTTGTCAGGATCTGACTCTGGCTGTCTGTTGTGATGCCAACTGGATCAAATGATCCCTTGGTATTAGAGGGATGACCGGTGTATCTAAATCGGAGTTTTCCTGCCTGATTAACCACCACTACTGCATTGCCTCCATTGTCAGCCACACAGATAGGATCCTGTTCTCACTGATGCATTTTATATAACCAGATGAATAAAGAGGTTTACCTTCACCATTAAACTGGATGGTCTGCATTTCCTTAGAGCCAGAATAACGGACAACTTTTGATTGTTTATCATCACTGTCCATGGTAACCAGGAGGTCACCAGAGGAGGTACTACAAATATTGATAGGTTTCCACCCCTGCAGTCTGATCACTTCTTGTATCTTTTTATCCTTCACTATGTTTACAGTTCTTGTATAAGGGTCAGTATAAACTAGATCTCCACTCCTTGTCACTGCCATGTCATGTGGTATATTCCCTGAATTGTTTTGGATTGATTTCAGCAGTTTACCTTGGAGGTTGTAGAGTTTCATAATTTTGTCATTCCCACATGTCCAGATTTCTTCATCACTGAGACAGGTGACACTGTATAGTGCATCACAAGCAGTCTCTATGATGGTGATGAATTCAAGTTTATTAAGCAGTGGTTTGACTGGAGGACAGGGTACAGCTTCTGGTGTCTTCATTGGGAAGTCATGTTCTTCTGTTGTAATGGATAATGCTGACAGAGAACCAAACATTTGATGGAGCTGTTCTATGTTGACTTGATGAGGAGTGAATCTTGGTAATGAAACATTGACTTTAGGAGGTAAACTTCTGAATTTAGCATTCCTGGATTTGTAAGCAGAGGTTAGGGAGACATCATTGGAGTCAAGTATTTTCTTCAGATCAAGTATGCTCTGTTTTACTTCAGTAATAATCTGTTTGATTTCTCTTTCCTGTTTATTTAGAACAGCCAGGTGTTTAGTTTTCATCTCATCAATTTCAGATTTCTGTTTGCTGACAATGATGTTAATTTCTCTGTGCCATTCTTCTCCTTGTTTTGTGACAGCTGTTATCAATTTCTCATAATGTTTTTCAGAGTTTACTTTTTCAGAGTTTATATCTAAAGATATCTCTTTGTATGTAGGATAAATTTTTTTCTCTAGTTCTTCCAAGTCTTTTTCCAAATGCTTTGTTTTCGAACATAATTTTTTCATAACATCTGTAAATTTATGCCCGTTATGTTTATTAGAGAAGATACAGATAGAACAGACAGGAATGTCACATTTCTCACAGTAAGATACACATTGGTTTTTGGTATGGTTTGGACATTTTGGATAATTATGAAGAGCAGATTTTCTGTGCTTGTATGGTACAACATTATGTCTTTGGGATGAATCAGAGAGATGCTCCCCTACACAGGCCTTACACAGGTTAATCTGACAAAGTTCACAATGACTCTGTAGTGCTGCTCTTTGACACAGGTCACATAGGAGGAGAACTTGAGCTCTGTCTAGGGGATCCATTAGTATTCTCACATGACCAAGTTTTGCTGTTGCTGTAAAAAAATGAAAATTGTAAAGTTTGTCCTTTGTTGAGGATTAGTTGTGGGTCAATACATACATAGATACTGAATATGATCTCAAAACTCCATGCCGAGACAACTATTGTATGTCATAAACAGTAAAATCATGCATGATAATTTTGCTTCTTATTTTTTGAAAAATATCCACTTTAAAAAATGTTTATTTCTTAATTCAGTTTAGAGATAACTTGTTCAAAAAGTGTAATATTCAAATTGAAAAAAAAATGTCTCACCTGTAAAATCAACATGGCTCCTTTAGTCTTGTCTGACAATCTACTTCCTAGTGTTGGCTTGCCAGGTCATGTATTAAAAATCCAGATCATGTGATTTAAATACCTTTCAATATACAGGCCTTTAAATAAATTCTTATTTTATAAATTTTGTATTTACAAAATGAATATCCATTTATGAAATTCTCAAAATAGACAGGAAAGTGGAGTGTGTTGATTAAATTATTAAAAATGATCAATTGATTACTGCAATTAATTTTGACGAAAAGTAACTCAAGAGTTGATAAAACTATTTATCGTTTACCTTTAGTTAAATAAAACTATTCGTTTTAGCTCTACTTGTCAGGTACATATTGTAACGTAGAATGAGCCAGGTTTTCCTTTTTAAATCAAAACAAGATTGTCTTCAAAGAAAACAAGAATTTATTTACAACAAAAAATAAAGGAAAGACAATCAAAATAAAAAATCACACAATCACACTCACGCACACTCACTCAAATGATCGAACAAAAAAAATGTTATTTACAATGAAAAAAAACAACAATAGGTTTTAATCAACTGTTTTCAACACGTATTTTCAATAACTCAAACCTATCAACATTGCCAGTATTGTCCAGTTCAATACGAAAGTCCACACAATGCGGATCAACACTATCCTCCAAACTTCCGGGGCTGTAGTCCTAGACTGATGTTCGAGGATCATTAGTATTGATTCACGACTGCTAGTGATTCCAGCGCCTAAACATCATCGACTTCGTCTTCATCAACATCATCAGCAACGACATCACCGTCGTCATCATCGAAGTCATCGTCGACATCATCGTCGTCATCAACACATCATCGACATCGTCGTCGTCATCAACACATCAGAGTACCCATAATACCTCAGCATGGTGCTAAAATATTAACTTTCCTTTATCAGTAAATAATTATGT